GATTGTACAACTTCTAAGGAAGAAATCGCTGAAAGGATATCTTAAACGTTTTGAATCATCCCATCCAGAATTGTTTAAGGCAGATAGGTTTAGTGAAATGCCTGTATAATCGGGACAAGAGTCTAACTAGTAGTAGACTAGAAGATTTAAATATTGAAATCAGACAAATAAAGGAAGTATTATTAGTGAATGACTAACCACCTATCAGAATTTATTCAGGAATGTATGAAGAACTACTGCTACAACAACTTCGCTACTATGAGGTGCTACCGACAATTATACATCTCATCCAACAGCTGTACGACAATACTGCATGATAAGTAATCCACTACGGGAAACCTACGGAATCCTTCGAAGTGAAGACAGGAGTAAGACAAGCTGGCTGCCTACTATCGCCAATGATTTTCCTGATTGCAGTAGATTGGATAATGTGACAGACAGCGGGCAATGAGGAAACAGGCATAAAATGGACTCACACAAAAAAATTGGAGGATCTGGACTTCGCCGATGACATATATGTCTGATTTCCCACAAACTGGAAGATATGCAAATGAAAAGCAACAAGTTGGCAGAAGAAGCATACAGAGAAGATAGGACTTCAGGTGAACATAGAGAAAACAGAGGTGATGAAGATTCCCGGGCAACACCACCAACAGCAACGACAACAACAGACAACGATCAGCATAAATGGGAGGAACCTGAAAGAAACAACCTCCTTCACCTACCCCCTGGGAAGCATCGTTTCAACTACAGGCGGAACTGACGAGCATATCAAAGCAAGAATCGGAGAAGCAAGACAAGCTTTCACTACTATCAAGTCTGTGTGGAGGTCAACAGCACTCAGCATCAAAATGAAAATAAGATCCGGATTTTCAACTCCAATGTGAAGTCAGTGCTACTCACTATACGGATCAGAGACTTGGCGCGTCATAAAGAGCATCTCAAACAAACTACAGACCTTCATTAACAGATGTCTTCGCTCAATACTCAAGATCAGATGGCCAGAAAAGATCAGCAATAGAGATCTTTTGGATCAAACCAACCAGTAACCGATTGTGCAACAAATAAGCAGGAAGAAATGGAGATGGACTGACCATACTCTGAGGAAACAATCCATCAAGTGACATCACTAGACAAACCATTGCTCGATTGGACCCCAAAAGGGAAGCGGCGAGTCGGTCGTTAATGCAAGGGTGACTTGGAGGAGGTCATGTGAAGAGGAGATGAAAGCGTGTGGAGAGACTTGGAGGCAGGTGAAGACTCTAGCAGAAAACCGAACGCAATGGAGACGCACGGCTGAAGCCCTATGTTCCTCTAGGAATTAAAGGAAACAATAATATTAATATGAAGAATCATAGAAAAAAAATAAGATTAATAATGAAAATGATGAAAATAACAAAAAAAAGACAACATAGAATTCAAAGCCCCTGTAGTACTGCTGCATAAAGAAGGAACGTCAGACGCCTTACGTAGGATTCTTAATGAGGCTGTAATTAGAGTAGCATTTAAACCAACCAACCAACCAACAACTCTCCCAGAGATGAACTTTTTCGACTTAAGGACCCAATAGATCCAATTAAGGAAAAATAATTTTACAATTTACCAAATACCATGTAATGCCTTACAGTGAGGTCAATTACAACATAGGTCAAACTAGTAGATCGGGGTCAACTACATTATTGGAACATAAAAATTTAGCTAAACCTAGAATGGTTGACCCTACTAAGTAAGTTAAGAAAAAAGCTCAGCCATTGCACTACATTCACTTGCATATAATCACACGACAGAATGGGACAGGATGAGAGTATTAAGGTGTAAAATAGTTAGGCGGAGAGGGAGAGAGAGTGGTTAGTCACTGAACCTTTGTTTATCGTCTCAACACTACTCAACACCTTCACCGGAGATATGGAAAGTTGCAACAAACAACAAGGGGAAGACAGAGAAAGAAAGAGAGATATGATGATTATGAGCAGCAATAAATTCTGCTCAAAACCTTGTCATCCAGTTTATTAATACTGCATCACTCACTGTGAGTGATATTTAAAATAAACTTATCTAATTTTCTATGGTTGGTTTGTAAGGATTAGATTTGTTTTTACGAGTTGATCACGGATTAATATCAGTTACAGAATCATTGAAAACCAGCCACAGGGAGTACTGGACAGCCAGCTGTTTCATCAGACTAGTTTGGGAATCACCAGCAGTTCACCCCACCTCACAGAGGGTTCTAGCCCGGAGCCTTCCGGTTACAAGCAAGCAAGGTCGTATACCATTCAGAAACTGGGACCCGATTCAATGGCCGGGACCCATGAACTCTAACTACTACCAATTTGTGATTTAGCGCGACCCCAACCAACGTAAATGGTTTAATGGTTTTCTAACTGATATCAATCCGTGATCAACTCGTAAAAACAAATCTAATCCTTACAAACCAACTATAGAAAATTAATCTGATGCTCGCTAGTGACTTGCTACAGAACGTAGTGAGGTTGCATCCAATGAAGAATGAGGATGGACGTCACACCGATGACATTGGTTGGTGGTCGCACCAAATCACGAATTGGTAGAAGTTAGAATTAGTTGGTTGTCCAATGAATCGGGTCCCAGTGGCTGAACGGTATACGAGCTTGCTTGTTTGTAACCGGAAGGTCCTGGGCTCGAATCCCAGTAGGTGCGTACTGCCGATGATTCCCAAACTAGGAGAGAGGAAACAGCTGGCTGTCCAGTACTCTCTGTGGCTGGTTTTCAATGGTTTTCTAACTGATATCAATCCGTGGTCGAACTCGTAAAAACAAAATCTAATATGGAATTATACATTCTACCACCAGTGTCCAAGTTTTATACTTACATTCGAGATATCTTTCACTTCTAAACCAATTTTTCCTTTCTCTCTAATGTATTTTACAAAATTTCAAGCTAAAAATATACATGCATCACTATGATGAAAAATCTGTCAAAGATGTACAATTTCGACAAGTTTTCTTCTTCTTTTCCTTTTATTGATATTCCAAATAAAATACAGTAAATATTTTTTTCTGGAAAATTCATTTTTTTTCTTTCGAATTCTTCAATTTATCTTATTTCTTCTTGAAGAAATGCGAATATACATGAACAGACGAACAGATAGCAGGCGATACAAAACAGACGTAAAAAAAACTCTTAAGGACATTGAATCTAGGTCAACATAACAGTAATTACAACTTTCTACATTATCTGTGTGAGTCATATACTACTTTTAAAACAAAGTTTTAAAACAAAAAGTGGCAAACTGGTGAACAAAAATTAGAAAAAAAACCAACAAACCAACAAATAAACAAAAACAAAACAACTTTGATTGTTTAAACACTTTGTCAAAATGCTTCATCATTCAATGTGTCCAATACTACACATTGGACATTGGACGAACATTGCGCGCATAGTTTGAAAACTAACTAACTACCAGGCAAATAACAACAGTTACAGTTATAAATAAACACACACTTAAAGTAGCTTATAGAAAACAACAACACCAACAACTAGAAAAAAAATTTGCATAACATGCTATTGCTTAGTTTGCCTTCTTTGAATAATAATCACATTCTCATTGTTCATTAGTAGCAGCAGTGATGATGATAGTTCAGGGTTGATGCATACGCACAGAATAATTTATTTCTGTTTTTTTATATCAAGAAACTAGAACATACTGGTGGTGTAATACATGAAAAAACATTGTTCTACGCTCTTGTTCTTATTTTTGTTGTTTAGCCCTCTGAAAAACTTTGTATTACTATTATTATGACTATTTCCTTAGGTTCAACAACACATCTCCATTTCAACAAAATTACCGTTAGTTGTCTCCACGATTTTCTATAAGGTGTCATCTCTTCCTCGTGTGTTCTTCTCCATGTCACCCTTGGAGGTACGTCCAATTCACTGTTTCCTGTTTGGGTTACACTCGATGAACTGTCTAGCTCGTGATGTTTATCAACGATCTTCTCAACGTATGTCTTATCCATCTCTATTAACCTCCGCAAAATGTGTTGAGTGACTGTCTATCGATTGGTTTGCTGCACTGCCAGAGTTCATTCTTGTTAATCCTTTCTGACGTCGCTGGCATCGACAGTTTGGTGGTAGAACGCTCGCAAATCACGCATCTAGTCGGGAGTACGCCCCCCAACCGACATACTACTACCAAACGTCGCTAAAATGGTAGTGAGGCCAGTAAAGAGACCAGGGTTATGAGTGAGGCCAGTATTCCCCACCCTTTAGAAATAAGATCACTGCTGCCGAAACTTCAAAGCTCTAGCTCTAGTTTACTTGCTCTTGCGCTGCTGAGTACATCGGCCGTACCATGTGCCAACTTGAAAAACCCTCTCATGAACACTATTCAGCCTGGCTAGTAAAAGGAGACCGAAAACGTGTATATAGTTCATTGACAGAACATCTGATCAGTTGAGGACATTTAGCGCCTTTCGAAAAATCCTTCAAAATAATATACAAGATTCCATCAAACCTATCAAAAGGAGTGAAATTAAGACATTTTGGCATAACCAAGGCAGTAGCTATCCAAAAGCTCGAACCCACGCTATGTATCCAAAAGAATTACGTCCAACCCCTGTCCCTGCCATAGCCATCATAAACAGGTAATTCTTTTGGTAATGACCATCTCATTGCCTTTCTTATCCAAATTTCCTGTTTATTCATGTTATTTTTAAGTTTTTCTTAATCCCTTCGCTATTTACACTACCATATTTTCATATCCGATCTTCCTGTTTATTTTTGTTATAATATTTTAACCTCTATTTATTATCGCATTATTTAACATTTGACCTGAAATAGAGTTCTGAAACTCACTCTCACACATTTCCTACAAATACACGAATGTACAACCTCCTAGTTGACGACTTCGTCGAGAAGAAGATTTTCTTCGCTGCAACCATCCTTCCAGTCGAATTCAACCAAAAATCAAGTAAAACAAAATTTACCATAAAAAACCAACCATTAAAACAACTGTTTCTTACCCGATAGAATCCTCTCAATTCATTAATAAGTTGTTTTTGAGTCTCAACATTTTGATATGAATGTGAATTGTAACCTGGAGTTGGAGATGTCCCGTGTACTTGGTTTACTTGATGCTGTTGTTGTGGTTGTGGCTGTCGTAACTTGTAATCTGCATTGACAACATCATATGAATTCGATGCCTGTGGTTTCATTCCACCTGTAGAATAATTATTCGAATTTGATATAGACCATGATGTTTCATTGAGTTGGTGGGGATGATGATGATGGCCTTGATGTTGTTCCTGCTGTTCTTGTGGCTGTTGTAGTATCTGTGGATGTGATGAATGTGAGGGCGATGGTAGTGTATTTGTTGGACTTGCACATGCATCACCAGCACCAAGAAATGCTGGCGGAGGGGGAGGTGGTGATGGTGACGGTGAAGTGTTCTCTTGTTTAATAAATCTACTCCGACTTCTGCTAATACTACTATTATCATTATTATCAATATTATTATTGTTATTATCATAGTCATCATGATTTAATTTAGCCGCCCATTCTGCACAGATAAATCCATTGCTTTTATTTACTAAACTGCCTTTTCTAACTGGAACTGGTAAGGAGACAACTGGTTGATCGTTATCATTATTATTATTATTGTTATTGACAACTGAAGAGGCCAGTGCATTCTCGACATGCGATTGGTCAGATGTAGTTTGATTTTGACGCTTTCCACTGGAGGATGATGCAAGACTGTAACGCTGAAAAATAGAAGCATTTCAACAAAGTTTAATAACAATAATAATAATGATAAATTAAGTTAAATAGTTCAACGAAGAGGCTCGTTTTCGCGACGAATTCATTTCCCGTCTTTAGTTGTACAATCGCGTTCAAGTACAATTTATTTTTCATATCATATCTCAATGCACAAGACGAGTTGAGTGAGTGAATTAGAGTTACTTGTGCGTCGGTGGCACAGTGGTAGAATGCTAGCCAAACACACCTCATGTGGTTTGGGGTTCGATCCCTGGTCACCGATGCACTCCTTTGCCTCGCAAAGCCAGTAATAAATCTGGTTAGGACGGAAAGTTGAACATGAGGCTAGCAACCCCATCCTGTAAAAATAAACACTGCTACAGAAACTTCAAGTCTCTAGCTTAAAGCTGCCCTATGTTCCACTGGGAACGTGAAAGAATAAAAAAACTATAGTTACGCAATAAGATAAGTAAAGTTAGTGAATGCGCTGTAATCAGGGTGTACATAGAGATGAAGGAAAATGTGGTCAATACATTAGAGTTCTACAGAAAACCAAGAGTTTCAAAAAAACGAAAAATCAAGACGGCAGAAAACGACAATAAAGCTGTTGCCATGATGGTAGGAATGATTTAATAATTTTCTTTTGTATGCAGGCCTCCGATTTCACTATCTGAATCGCCAGAGCTTCAGCAATCTGACTGACTGACTGGTTTCAACTTAGAATTTCGCACCAATGTGCAACAGTTCGAGTCGCCATGCCCCATGTAGCATACAAAACCAGAGAAGGTAAAAAGAAATGCAAAACGGAGATAGTTAACACAGATATAAGGCAAAAAGAATAGCAAAATCTAAGAACAATATGGCTTTATTAGATATGATAAGTTACAAGGAGTGGATGCATCTGCAACAGCCATTGAGAATGAGGATTTTGAGCCATATCACCAATGGCCTGCAGCTTTCATTGGTTCTTACTGTCCCGAGGACCGCAACCAGTCAGGAAGTCTCCACCTTCCTACGTAGCTGGCTCAAACTAGCTGTTGTGGATTTCACTAACTGATGAAGCCATGTTTAAGTCTGACCACCACTGGCTCTTTTCTAACCTGATCCCATATCAGCGACTAACATTTCCCGTCAGTCGAGGAAGGCGATAGCTAGGCAGGCATGCGTAACACATATTCTTACCATCTCAATCGGTGTAACTTCACCAACTCGTTGATTGATTTCTCCTCCTTACATAGCACTCAACGCTTAACCTCAATATTGCTCACCCTATTATATTACATAACATGGGAGATAGAATGCAGGCCCCTACAATCAAAGACAGCTATCCAGGGTTTTCATGTCTTCCAATTTCAATGAGCAGGTCTCACTGCCGTAAAAAAGGATGGAGCGGACAGATGCGATTGTAAACCTAAAGAAAACGGATTCGGTGAAAAAGAACCTTTTCGCTGAACTGCTTGTTTTGTTCGTTTCATTAATGCCTGGATGGGGATTATTTATGAAATGGGTAAAGTTGTATAAAATTAAAAATTACGTAATACTATAGATGAAGTGGATAGATAATCGGAGTGGAGAATAAGAAAAGGTGGAAAGTTTTAATCAGTTCACAGAATATTTACCCTCAGTGAAAGAGGAATCATAGATAGAAAAAACTTCTTTCCCATAGTTCCAAGTAGGTGTAAATAACAAGTCTGAATCTATTTCGAAAGGTTAAGTGGAATACGATCGATAGATAGATAATCTCGAAGAAGATTCTTCTATCTACTAAGTGACCACTAGAAATCAAATGAACTTCTTAGAGAATTTATTTGACATTTTCTGAACCATGAAATCGATTAAGGTTAAGAAGAAAAAGTTATTTCTGAAAATGGTGTTCAGTGGAGACGTGATTAGTGAAGTTCTACATTTACGATTATCATAAAAAGGGCATTTGTACTGCTGCCAACCTTGTTGATCATGACGAACAACAAAAAGTCAGGGAATAGTGGGCAGCTGTTTGGCACTCATTGGAAGTAGGCACTCACTGGCTGCAGGATGCAGTTGCCTGTAGTGGGTTCTAGTGAGAAGTCGTAACCAATTAGTGGGGTCCACTAAGTGGTCAGGAGTTGAGACATACTCACCAGTAATGACATTGGCGTATACCAGTCGAGATAAATATATCACGAATTGGCAGAAGTTAGAAATAATAGGCTGGCTATTAGGTCGAATCCCAATTGAAGATTTCGCAAATGATATATGTATAATGTCACAAACTTAAAGACCAATAGGCAGGCAAAAACTGGCAGAAAAGGCTGGCTGGCAGGCAGGCAGCGAAGAGAGGACTCCAGGTAAACATAGAGAAGATGGAGACGGAGGTGATGATGATTAACAACCTTCAGCAAGAAGAAGAACAACAACAACCAGCAACAATCATCATCAACGGGAGAGATTTAACAGAGGTTACCTCCTTCACTCATCTAGGAAGCATCGCTCCAACTACAGGCGCCAGCGGAACGAAAGAAGACATCAAAGCCAGCTAGAATCGGGAAGGCAAGATACGCCTTCATCTATCCATCTGAAACCAGTTTGGAAATCTCCTGCACTCACTCAGCCAGTCAGCATAAACAACAAGATTCGGATTTTCAACATCAGTGTTAAGTCAGTAAGTCAGTCAGTTCTTCTATACGGGTCAGAAACTCGACCAGCGTGTAACGGAAAGGATTTCGAGCAGGCCACAGCAGATTTTCATCAAAATCTGCCTTCGTTGGCTCCATAATGAAGATCAAATGACCTGCCAGCCAGAAAGAAATAGTAACAAGAAACTGTGGGAACAAACCAGCCATGACCCGATCGCTCAACAAATATGTGGGAGAAAATAGAGATGGATCGGGCATACATTGAGGAAACCATAGAATGACATTGCGTGCCAGGCCCTCGAGTAGAATCCAAATCGGAAGCGACCAGTGTGTCATCCTAGGTTTACATAAAGATCATGTGAGGAGGAGATGAGAGATTATGGTCAATCATGGACCCAGACAGCTGAAGAGGGTGGCAGAAAATAGAAGAAAGTGGCTATGTGTTGTTGATGCCGTATGTTCTACTCGGAACCTGAGGGAATAATAACAATAGCAATCTGAAAACTGACTATCCACGTAACACATTATGACGACTGACTGATTGGTTTCAACGTGGAAGTTTGCACAGATGTGCAGCAGTTGGAGTCGCTACACTCCATGTAGCACACAAATCAAGAGAAGAAAGTAAAAGTAAATGCAAAATAGAGAAAGTAAACAGAGATATGGGTCAAAAGGAATAGTAATATCGAAGAACAACATAGTTTTATTGGATATTATAAGTCACGAGGAGTAGACGCATCTGCGATAGCCATTGACAGCGACCACTTTAAGCCATATCACCAATAGTCTGCAGCCTACATGGGTTCTTACCATCCCGAGGACCCAACCAGGAAGTCCACACCTCCCTACCTGACTGGCTGGCTTAAACTAACTGTTGTGGATTTCATTGATTGATGAGGCCATGTTTTGCTTTGATCACCAGTGGCTCTTTTCCAAACTGACTCTATGTCAGCCAACATTCCTCGTCGATGATGATGATGATGATTAAGATGACGATCAGATTTGAACAAATCACTTCTGGTTAACTAGTCCCGAGATCAATCACCAGCTGGAACTGTATGTCTGTTTTCGGCATAGAACTTTGCACAAATGTGCGGCAGTTCAAGTCGCCACACTCCATGTAGTACACAAAGCCACAGAAAAAAGTAAAAAGACACGCTAAATAGAGACAGTAAACAGAGATATGAGACTAAGGTGTAGTAATATCGAAGAACAAAACAGTTTCATTGGAAATCATAAGTCACAAGGAGTGGATGCATCTGCACCAGCCATTGAGAACGATTTTGAGCCATGTCATCAATTGTTTCCAACCATTGGTTTTTACCATCCCGAGGACCCCAAACAGTCAGGAAGTCTACATCTTCCTACGTGGCCTAGACTAACTGTTGTAGATTTCATTGACTGGTGCCATGTTTTGGTTTGACCACCGCTAGCTCTTTTCCAGCCTGACCCTATATCAGCTAACATTGCCCGTCGAAGAAGGCGATGGCTAGGCAGGGCAGACGTAACACATGTTCTAACCATCTCAGTCGATGTAACTTCACAAAATCGTCTATTGATTGATTTCCCCTCCCAGCCTGGCACTCGACCGATGTCTCACCTCAATTTTGCTCACCTTATTATACCACTTCACACGGGAGAAAGAACGAAGACACCTATGATCAAAGACAACCAATCTTTTCATGCCTTCTACTCACAATGGCCAGGTCTAACAGCCATAAAGGAAGACGGAGCGGACTGATGAGCAGTACACACGCCCTTTGGTCTATATTCGGATATCGCGTCTACTAAGCCGGAGACGGCGTAAACTGGCATATACGAAACTAGCCCTCTGTATTAGTGCTGAGTTAAACCCGGTTGATTTCCCTCCTGGAACTATGAAAAACAACCCGGTTTAGAACCTGATTGAGAAATATTAGCAAAAAGAAACAAGTAAAATCATAAGTGTGAATTCCTTATTCAGACGTAGAATCATGAAATCTGTTTTCGACTCTCGACCGACGCACTTTACCTAATTAACTGGCGAACAGTCAGCTCAGCTCAGCAAAAGAAGGAAGGTTGCGTGTGAAGATAACAGCCTCACGATGTATAAAAAATCACTACCGCTAGGGAAACTTCAAAGATAAAATCTTGAAGCGCTTTGGTTCCTTTCAGAAGTCAAAAAGAAATAATAAATCCATACATAAAACCTTAGAAATCACTCCCCCTTTTTTCATTTCACCGCTTTTCAAATGTAACAGGATAAATAATCTTCAATTTTGGACATATCCAAAGTAGCGAAAAAAACGAAAAAACAAACGAAGAAATCTTGATATGATGATCAAAAAGACAGACTTTTAGATTTCCTCTGCCCACCTCAATCCCAACAAACTCTATCGAATAATGTTTTT